GGGAGCCAGCGTGGAGATGGCTGGCGAGATGCACGGCTTTCCTCAAGCACGACTATGAAACGCCGGCTGTATGCGTGCACCATCCACACACCTGCACGCATGCCTGAGTTAGTGTTTCCCGCAGCACCGCGGTGACAGCGGAAACATACGACCATCCGAGCGAGTCACTCATCATGGTGATGCATCCTCTAATTAGCAGCATGAAGACCAATGCTGATCCGCATATCTATATTCACCGTCTGTACATCTGGAGCCTAAAACAGCACGCTAATGATTATCAATGAGGCCGAGGCTACGGAGCCAGCGGTTCTCTCCCCGGTGCAACTGCAATGCATGATGGACCTACTGTATTTCATTAAGTGTAAGGAGGTCAGGAAGAGGAGGGGAGGGTGGAAAGAGAAAAAAACAGAGGGAAGACAGAAGATAGAGGATGAAAAGGGCAAGAAACAAGAAAGAAAGAAAGAAAGAAAGAAAGAAAGAAAGAAAGAAAGAAAGAAAGAAAGAAAGAAAGAAAGCTGGTGAGTTGCAGCTTCACATGAAAAGGTCAGCGGCTCGATGGGTAACTAAACTGTTTCGGAGCGGCTGATGCAGAACAAGCTCTTGCTCATAATGAGCTCTTCTTTTGACAGATTCAGACGACTTCACTCAGGCAGGGTCTCGATGAACACATCAGGCTTAATTCCACGAGAAGCTACACTTTCTGCAAACATGAATAAACAAAAAAAAACTTAAATCAACATCTCAATAGTCTTTTGTGGCGACATTAAATAACAACTGGACACAGCTCGGGTTGAAAAGTGAAGACGTTCCGATGGTTTGGATGGAAACGCCACCATGTTTTAACTAAAGCCTGAACTCATCGCACACTGCCGCTCTGTCAGGACCTCATTTGTTTATGTCAGAAACACATGCAGTAGTTTGAAGCCAAATGAGCTCAGCTGGTGTCATGAATCCTGCTGCTTTCCAGGCAACAAGAAGTTCCCCTTGTAACATGTGGTCAATGATGAGGGTGGATTTTCACCAAACTAAACCAAGTAGTTAACCAGATAACGAGTGCAAACCAAAGTAAACTATGAATAAAAATGCAGTTCTCCACAGATGGACTAGTCTGTGGCACTGACACAGCACTGTGTAGAACAGTCCTGCTGCACCTCATCATTATTCTACTATAAGGGGAAAAGTGTTTGTGTTACTTTAAAATGATCACAAG